GAGACAAAATCTTTAAGTCCCACAGGGTAAGGGTGATCTTGGGACTTGTGCACTGGCTGCCAAGAGTCTTAAACCATGAAATATAGAAGGGGCACTTTTCCAGGTCACATGGGATGAGCAAGTGTCATTACACCACTTTTGCACTGCTTAGTGAAAGCCTTAAGTCATAAGACAAAGACAGGGGAACTTCACCAGGTCCTGTGGGTTGAGCAAGGCTGACGCCATAATGTGTATATTGGAAGCCTAGGTCTCTGAACCAAGAGACATGGAAGGAAACTTCTCAAGATCCCACAGGGCTCAGTTGACCTCTGCTCTGGTGCATCTCAATACCTCATCTTCAGGATGCTAAGGGGCCTGTTCTCTGCCCTGTGAGTGCACTGGTATCAAGGGCTTCTGGTAGAATCTGAGGCTTCCTGTTGGCTCCTAAGAAAGAACAGAATCTAGCAATGGTTGTTCTGGAACAGCTTGAGTTCTGGAGATTGTGGAGGAGTTTAATATGGGTTCCTTTTTGGAGCAAAGCAGTCACTCTAATCTGAATCAACTTCTGAAATCAGATTTAATAGATGTGAGGCCTGTGGAATTCTGCTGTAGTTGGGGCTGCGAGTCTGCAATGATCATGTTGTGGGAGGGGGTCGATGTTGCTGTTTTCCCACTTAACTTTTCCAAAGCAATGTGGAGCTAGAGCAGCTGCAGTCTGTAATTCCAAAAAATAAATATTTATTTATTTAAAAGGCAGAATTACAGAGACAGGGAGAGACACAGAGAGAGATCGATCTATCATCTGCTGGTTCACTCTCTAAATGGCCACAACAGGTGGGACTGGGCCAAGACGAAGCCAGAAACATGGAACTTCGGTCTTCCACATGGTGCAGGGGCCCAAGGACTTCTATCATCTTCTGCTGCTTTGCTACACACATTAGCAGGGCACAGGATGGGAAGTGGAACAGCCAGGACAATGACCCCTAAGGATGCCAGCATTGCAGACAGCTGCTTAACCCACTGTGCCACAACTTTGATCCCCTCATTATCTTTTTATTCAATTTCTCATGAACTTTTAAAACCCCCTCATGAATATGAATTGTGTGTGTGTGTGTGTGTGTGTGTATTATTTCCATATCTTCTTGGCTTTTGTGAATAGTGCTACAATGAATATGGAAGAGCAGATTTCTTTATAAGTTTGTGATTTCATTTCCTTTGGGAATATATCCAGATAAGGCATTGCTGGTTCATATGATAGTGTTATTTTTAAATTCTTTAGGAACATCTACATCATTTCCTATAATGGGTGTACTAATTTACATTACTTCTAATAGTTACTAGTGTTCCTCTTTACTGCATCCCTACCCCAACCACTGTTATCTCTTATCAATGTGATAATAGCCCACTTAACTGGTGTAAAGTGAACTCTCATTGTGGTTTTAATTTACATCTCCCTGATGATTAGTGATGTCATGTGCTCACTCATATATCTGTTGGCCAGCTATATATCTTTACAAAGTGTATGCTTATGCCTTTTGCCCACTTTTTCACCAGGTTATTTGTTTTTCTGATATTTATGCATAAGAATTCCTTATCACTTTTGAATATTAATGCCTTCTCAGATATGAAGTTTTCATATATATTTCCCCATTCATAATTTTTTTTTATTTCTTTGAACATGACTTTTACAGAAGTTTCTTAGATTTTATTTAGTTCTATCTATTTTTGCTTTTGTTGCCAGATCTCTTAGTGTGATACCTGAAAAATAACTGCTAAGACCAATGTCAAAGAGCTTTTCTCATATATTCTCATCTAGGAGTTATCTGGCATCAAGGTGTTTTTTTTTTTTTGACAGGCAGAGTGGACAGTGAGAGAGAGAGACAGAGAGAGAAAGGTCTTCCTTTGCCGTTGGTTCACCCTCCAATGGCCGCCGCGGCCAGCGCGCTGCGGCCGGCGCACCGCGCTGATCTGATGGCAGGAGCCAAGTACTTATCCTGGTCTCCCATGGGGTGCAGGGCCCAAGGACTTGGGCCATCCTCCACTGCACTCCCTGGCCACAGCAGAGAGCTGGCCTGGAAGAGGGGCAACCGGGACAGAATCCGGCGCCCCGACCGGGACTAGAACCCGGTGTGCCAGCGCCGCAAGGCGGAGGATTAGCCTAGTGAGCTGCGGCACCAGCCTGGCATCAAGTTTTATATTTAGGTCTTCTATTAATTTTCAGTTTATGCTTGTGTATGATGTAAACTAAGTATCTAGTTTCATTCCTTTGCATGTGGAAATCCAGGTTGGTTGAAGAGATGATCATTTCAACATTGTGTCTTCTTGTTGTCTTTGTTGAAAATTTATTAACTGTATGTGGTTGGATTTATTCCTAAACTGTGTATTTTGTTCCAGTGGTCTTTGTTTCTGTTTTATTACAGTACTGTATTGTTTTGATTACTATAGCTTTACCATAAAATAATTTTAAATAATGAAATATCATACCTTCATGTTGTTTTGGCTATTTTTTTTTGTATTTCAATACAAATTTCAGGATTAGTTTTTTTTTTTTTTTCTGTTTCAATGAAGAGTGGCTGCTGAAGTTTGAGTAGGGAGTGTATTACATCTGTGTATTGCTTTGGGTATAATGGATATTTTCACAATATCAAAAATCCCAATCAACATGGGGTATGTTTTCACTTACTTGTTTCTTTTCATTTTCTTTCATCAGGGTCTTACAATTTCAACAGACAGATCATTCACCTCAATTTTATTACTATATATTTTAATTTTTAATACTACATAAATGGGATTGTTCTCTTGATGTGTTTTTCAACAGTATGATTATTTGTGTATAGAAGTATTATTTTTCTATGTTGATTTTGTATACTGAAACTTTACTAATTTATTCATTTTAACTTTGTCTTGTGGAATCTTGAGTTTTCTGCACAAAGGATCATGTTATCTGCAAAACAAGATAATTTTACTTCTTGCTTCTTGATTTGGAAATCTTATTTCTTCTATTTGTTTTATTGTTCTTTTTTTTTTTTTTTTTTTTTTTTTACTTTTATTTAATGAATATACGTTTCCAAAGTACGAATAATGGATTACTATGGCTTCCCCCCCCATACCGTCCCTCCCACCCACAACCCTCCCCTTTCCCACTCCCTCTCCCCTTCCATTCACATCAAGATTCATTTTCGATTATCTTAATATACAGAAGATCAGCTTAGTATACATTGTTTTATTGTTCTTTATAGTACTTCCAGTACTATACTGAACAGAATTAGTGAGAGTAGATGTTGCTGCCTCGTACCTTATCTTACTGCAAAAACTTTTTAGTTGTTGCTCATTAATTATAATGTGAACTGTGAGTTTTTCAAAAGCAGTCTTTATTCTGTTGAGGAACTCTCCTTACATAACATAACTGTTAAGAGTTTTTATAAAGAAAAGATATTGAATTTTATCAAATCCATTTTATGCATCAATTGAGATGTTCATTGCCATTCTTGTCATTCATTGTGATACTGTGATGTATTACATTGTTTGATTTGCAGGTGCAAAACCAGCTTTATATGCCACAGGCAAATCCCACTTAGTAATGATTTACCATCTTTTTAATGTGTTGTTGAAGTCAGTTTCCTAATAATTTATTTTCATTTTTTAAGATTTATTTATTTTATTTGAAATTCCGAGTTACACAGAGAGAGGAGAGAGAGAGAGAGAGAGGGAGAGAAGTCTTCCATCTACTGGTTCACTCCCCAGATGGCCACGATGGCAGGAGATGCACCAACACGAAGCCAGGCAGGAGCCAGGAGCTTCTTCCGGTTCTCCCATGTGGGTGCAGAGGCCCAAGGTGTTGGGCTATCTTTTACTGCTTTCCCAGTCCATAGCAGAGAGTTGGATTGGAAGTGGAGCCATCCACATCCATATGCGATGGCCAGCACTGCCAGCATCAGCTTTACCCTCTACGCCACAGCACCAGCCCCAATTTCCTAATAATTTATTGAAAAATTTACCATACATGTTCATAAGAAATATTAGCCTGCATATTTATTTTCTCATGATGTCTGTCTTATATATACGTGTGATGCTGACCTCCTAAAATGTGTTTGGAAACATTCTTTCTACCTCTATGTTGTGTAGGAAGTTAAGAAGTATTAATACCAATAGCTATTTTAATCTTTTGGTAGAAATTCAGCCAAGAAATCATCTGGTTCTGGGTCTTTCTTTGTTGGGAGGTATTTCATTGTAATCAAGGGCAAGTACCATCCACAAATGGGATGAGAAAAATAGAATGACTTCTAGGCAGCTTGTTCCCATAGGATAGGGAGCTGCAGCAGCTTATATAGGGAATGGTGTACTACCATATGTGTGAGCATTGTTCCCTGATAGTAGAACCTCAAGGATGAAGACATGCACAGGCTCCAGGTCATTCAGGGCTAACTCAAGCAGCGACTCTGGTTTTAAGATGGAATTTTATGGTAATAGCTTTCACCATGGGTTTCAGTCTTTGTCCCTGTACAATGTAGACTCATTCTTGCAGCACTGTAGCTGTGTGAAATCCTAATCTGGCATCTAGGCCCAAAACACTAGGATTATCCAGTAGTGAAGACTATAAGTATTTGTAGAGATGATAAGGATTATTGGGGGCTTCTTGCTTACTTTTCTTCTGTGGGGAGAAAACCACCATGGTTCTGAGCTGAATCTGACTAGAGAAATGGGGTGGTAGGGGAAAGTTGTCTTCTTCCCTTCTCTATATGGTCATTATGAGTTTCTTTGCTCCACAGAATATCTGTCACTCCTTTGCTGTACTCTTATGCTCTCCTTTTGTATGGTGAAACTTGTAGTTGTTTATTTCCTGTTTTGTTTCTTCTGTGGTAGATACTGGCATTAGATACCTCTAATTCACTATCTTGCCAGCATCCAAAGTTCTATGCAATTATGGTCTGTCAACTTCAGAAATATTAATAAATAAAATCAGTTCCTAAAATTATGTTGAAAGTGAAATTCAAAAAAAAGTTTATTTTTCTCCATAACAGCACTGAATCCCGGAAGGATCCACTGATTAGATTGCTTGATGAAATGGAGGTGACAAAGGAGCAAGATGAACCTGGTATTGTGGTAAGTATTGTCTGATCTCACCATGGGTCCGAGTTACAAGATAAGAAACAGTTTCTGTGGTTACTGCATTCCCTATTGGAGTGATATAAGAGACAGAACCCAGAGATTTGCCAAGAACAAGAGACCAACTAATAAGAAAAGGTGGGAGATGGAGAATTAGAATGATGTAAAGGCCCTAGGAAAGTATGAAATAAAGTCACCCAGACAGGAAAACTGAGGCCATGCTCTGTGATGTGATTTACCAAAGATCACAGAGCCAACACTGGAGGAGTTGAAGCTCAAAACCAGGGCTTTTGTGGCCTTATCAAAAGCTTATATCCATTAGAAAATTGGTAACCCCTAAAATGTTAGGGTTTCAAATTTCCAAATAAGCTGACAAGATATTTTTTCCCACTGTAATAATTAACATACAGCACTTGAAATAGTACTTTGCAAACTATAAATGTCAGCTGTTAATATTAGTACTGAAAGACCAACAAACAGACTGCTGACTTAGCCTAACCAATCCCACTTTCAAATCCAATCACTGGTTTTATGGAGAGCACAAGGTCTTGCTCAAAGGAGCCTAAGATGCTTATTCTTAAAAGTCTTCCAAAATGAGTGGAATTATCCACAATCCTCGTACTTGGGCTTGGAGTTCACCACAAAACTAGTTTTTCCATATAATATCCAAATAATATTTCCTGAACAGTAGTCAGTGAAGTCAACAAAGTCACTGCAGGGTTAGATATAAGAAATCATTGCAAGGTGTCCTTGCAGACCAACAAAAAAGAGAAATATAATTCTACCACGTAGTCCTCATTCAGTCCTGATTATCCCTAAAAATAAATAATATCTCCTACCTCAGGGGTATCTATTTAACGAACTGTGTCCTAAACATGGGGAATAAAAGCCAGTCAATCATAGGACAACTAGATAGAAGAACAATAAGGAAGTAGAATAATCAGGTAACTGTAACAGATATCTACAGAACGTTTCATCCTACACATAAAGCATTTACATTCTTCTCAGCAGTACATGGAACCTTCTCTAGGATTGACCACATACTAGGCCATAAAGCAAGTCTCAGGAATTCAAAAGAATTAGAATAATACCATGCGGCTTCTCAGACCATAAAGGAATGAAGGTGGAAATTAGCAATTCAGGAATCCCTAGAACCTACGCAAACACATGGAGATTGAACAACATGCTCCTGAATGAACAATGGGTCATAGAAGAAATCAAAAGAGAAATCAAAAATTTTCTGGAAGTAAATGAGGATAACATCACAACACGCCAAAACTTATGGGACGCAGCAAAAGGAGTGTTAAGAGGAAAGTTTATATCAATAGGAACCTACATCAAGAAATTGGAAAGGCACCAAATAGATGAGCTTTCAGTGCATCTCAAGGATGTAGAAAATCTGCAGCAAACCAGACCGAAATCTATAATAATTAATCTATAATAATTAATCTATAATAATTAAAATCAGAGAAGAAATCAACAGGATTGAATTCAAAAAAAAATTACAAAACATCAGCCAAACGAGGAGCTGGTTTTTTGAAAAAAATAAACAAAATTCACACCCCATTGGCACAACTAAATAAAAAAAGAAGAGAAAAGAACCAAATCAATAAAATCAGAGATGAAAAAGGAAACATAACAACAGAAACCACAGAAATGAAAAGAATCATCAGAAATTACTACAAGGACTGGTTTGCCAGCAAACAGGGAAACCTATGACAAATGGAGAGATTCCTGGACACATGCAATCTAGCTAAATTGAACCAGGAAGACATAGAAAACCTAAATAGACCCATAACTGAGACAGAAATTGAAACAGTAATAAGGGCCCTCCCAACAAAGAAAAGCCCAGGACCAGATGGATTCACTGCTCAATTCTACCAGACATTTAAAGAAGAACTAACTCCAATTCTTCTCAAACTATTCAGAACAATCGAAAGAGAGGGAATCCTCCCAAATTCTTTCTATGAAGCCAGCATCACCTTAATTCCTAAGCCAGAGAAGGATACAGCACTGAAAGAGAATTAAGATCAATATCCTTGATGAACAGAGACGCAAATATCCTCAATAAAATTTCGCCAATAGAATGCAACAACACATCAGAAAGATCATCCACCCAGACCAAGTGGGATTTATCCCTGGCATGCAGGGATGGTCAACATTCGCAAATCAATCAGTGTGATACACCACATTAACAGACTGCAGAAGAAAAACCATATGATTATCTCAATAGATGCAGAGAAAGCATTTGATAAAATTCAACACCCTTTCATGATGAAAACTCTAAGCAAACCGGGTATGGAAGGAACATTCCTCAATATAATCAAAGCAATCTAGGAAAAACCCACGGCCAACATCCTATTGAATGGGGAAAAATTGGAAGCATTTCCACTGAGATCTGGTACCAGACAGGGATGCCACTCTCACCACTGCTATTCAACATAGTTCTGGAAGTTTTAGCTAGAGTTATTAGGCAAGAAAAAGAAATTAAAGGGATCCAAATTGGGAAGGAAGAACTCAAACTATCCCTCTTTCCAAATGATATGATTCTTTATTTAACTGATCCAAAGAATTCAACTAAGAGACTATTGGAACTCATAGAAGATTTTGGCAAGGTACCAGGATATAAAATCAATGCACAAAAATCAACTCCTTTGTATACACAGGCAATGACAAGGCTGAGGGAGAACTGCTAAGATCAATCCCATTCACGATAGCTACAAAAACAATCAAATACCTTGGAATCAACTTAACCAAGGACGTTAAAGATCTCTATGATGAAAATTACAAAACCTTAAAGAAAGAAATAGAACAGGATACCAAAAAATGGAAAAATCTTCCATGCTCATGGATTGGAAGAATCAATATCATCAAAATGTCCATTCTCCCAAAAGCAATTTATAGATTCAATGCAATACCAATCAAAATACCAAAGACATTCTTCTCAGACCTGAAAAAATGATGCTGAAATTCATATGGAGACACAGGAGACCTCGAATAGCTAAAGCAATCTAGTACAACAAAAACAAAGCCGGAGGCATCACAATTCCAGATTTCAGGACGTACTACAGAGCAGTTGTTATCAAAACAGCATGGTACTGGTATAGAAACAGATGGGTAGACCAGTGGAACAGAATTGAAACACCAGAAATTAATTCAAACATCTACAGCCAACTTATATTTGATCAAGGATCCAAAACCAATCCCTGGAGTAAGGACAGTCCATTCAATAAATGGTGCTGGGAAAACTGGATTTCCACGTGCAGAACCATGAAGCAAGACCCCTACCTTACACCTTACACAAAAATTCACTCAACATGGATTAAAGACTTAAATCTATGACCCGACACCATCAAATTATTAGAGAGCATTGGAGAAACTCTGCAAGATATAGGTACTGGCAAAGACTTCTTGGAAAATACCCCAGAAGCACAGGCAGCCAAAGAAAAATTAACATTTGGGATTGCATCAAATTCAGAAGTTTCTGTACTGCAAAAGAAACAGTCAGGAAAGGGAAGAAGCAACCAACAGAATGGGAAAAAATATTTGGAAACTATGCAACAGATAAAGGGTTGATAACGAGAATCTACAAAGAAATCAAGAAACTCCACAACATCAAAACAAACAACCCACTTAAGAGATGGGCCAAGGACCTCAATAGACATTTTTCAAAAGAGGAAATCCAAATGGCCAACAGACACATGAAAAATGTTCAAGATCACTAGCAGTCAGTGAATTGCAAATCAAAACCACAGTGAGGTTTCACCTCACCCCCATTAGAATGGCTCACATTCAGAAATCTACCAACAATAGATGCTGTAGAGGATGTGGGGAAAAAGGGACACTAACCTACTGTTGGTGGGAATGCAAACTGGTCAAGCCACTATGGAAGTCAGTCTGGAGATGCCTCAGAAACCTGAATATAACCCTACCATTCACCCCAGCCATCCCACTCCTTGGAATTTACCCAAAGGAAATGAAATTGGCAAACAAACAAGCGGTCTGCACCCTAATGTTTATTGCAGCTCAATTCACAATAGCTAAGACCTGGAACCAACCCAAATGCCCATCACCAGTAGGCTGGATAAAGAAATTATGGGACATGTACTCTATGGAATACTATACAGTAGTCAAAAACAATGAAATCCGGTCATTTGCAACAAGATGGAGGAATCTGGAAAACATCATGCTGAGTGAATTAAGCCAGTCCCAAAGGGACAAATATCATATGTTCTCCCTGATCAGCGACATCTAACTGAGCAGCAAAGGGGAAACCTGTTGAAGTGAAATGGACACTATGAGAAACAGTGACTTGATCAGCTCTTGTCCTGATGGTTGATGTACAATATAATACTTTATCCATTTTATTATTTTCTCTTTGTTTTGTTCTAGTACTATTGGTTGAACTCTGTGATTAACACACAATTATTTTTAGGTGTTTAAATTTTAACTGAAAAGTGATCCCTGTTAAATATAAGAGTGGGAATAAGAGAGGGAGGAGATGTATCATTTGGGACATGCTCAATCGGACTTGCCCCAAATGGTGGAGTTAGAATCATGCCAAGGGATCCCAATACAATCCCATCAAGGTGGTATGTATCAATGCCATCTCACTAGTCTAATGATCAATGTCAGTTCACAATTGATCACACTGATAGGTCTAAGAGTCAAAGGGATCACACAAACAAGTCAAGTGTCTGCTAATACTAGCTGATAGAATCAAAAAGGGAGAGAACAATCCATCATGGCAAGCGGGATACACAGTAAAGTCACAGAATGACAGATATCCTAAATAGCACTCTGGCCTCAGAATCAGCCCTTAAGGCATTCGGATATGGCTGAAGAGTCCATGAGATATTTTAGGCATGGAAAGCCAAGACACCCTGGAAAAAAAAAAGAGAGAGACCTAAATGGAAGATCTCTGCAAGTGAGATCCCATTGGAAAGAACGGGGCCATCAAAGAAGGAGGTACCTTTCTCTGAAGGGAGGAGTGAACTTCCACTTTGACTGTGACCCTATCGGAATAAGATCGAAGTCGTAAAACTGAAAAGGCTTCCATAGCCTTGGCAACTCATGGCTAGAGCCTAGGGAGATTACTGACGCCATAAACAAGAGTGTGAAATTGTTAAGTCAACAACAGGAGTCACTGTGTACTTACTTCTCATGTGGGATCTGCCCTTAATGTGTAGTCCAATGTGAAGTAATGCTCTAACTAGTACTGAAACAGTATTTTACATTCTGTGTTTCTGTGTGGGTGCAAACTGATGAAATCGTTACTTAATATATACTGAATTGATCTCCTGTATATAAAGAGAATTGAAAATGAATCTTGATTTGAATGGAATGGGAGAGGGAGCGGGAGATGGGAGGGGTGTGAGTGGGAGGGAAATTGGGGGGGGGAAGCCACTGTAATCCATTAACTGTACTTTGAAAATTTATATTTACTAAATAAAAAATAAATTAAAAAAATAAAAAAAGAATAATCAGGTTACCCTATAAACCAAGTAAGCTGTGCTGATATCTATAGAACTGCTTACCCAACAACACCAAAACACACATTCTTCTGAGATAGACATGGGATATTCTCTAAAATTAACCATCTATACAGCCATGAAAGAAGCCTTAGTGAACTTAAAAATACTTGAAATCACACAAAATATGCACTTTAATTACAGTGGCATGAAATAAGTAATCAATAGCAGAAATTTGGAAAATTCAAAAGGATGTATAAATTAACATGCTCAATCGGACTTGCCCCAAATGGTGGAGTTAGAATCATGCCAAGGGATCCCAATACAATCCCTGCTAAATCTCTGCTAAATCAGAGTCAAAGAAAAGTTAAAAATGGAATTATAAAATACATCAAAATGAATGTAAATTAAACATATCATACCAAAATTTATGGGGGGGCTTTTGAGCTGTAAACAATTATATTGCAAGAGGAAATTACAAATCAATAACCTCTAGTTATACCTTATGAATTTAGACAGAGAGAGAGAGAGAGAGAGAGAGAGAGAGAGAATATTGAGATCTTCTATCCCCCAAGCCAGGTCAAAATCAGGAGCAAACAACTGCTACTGGGTTTCAGATACAGGTGACAGTGACTCAAGCACTTGAACAGGGAGCTGGATTAGAAGTGGTATAACTGAGAGTTGAACCAGCATTCAGGTATGGAATGTGGGCATTCCAAGCAGTGCCTTAAAACACTGTGCCAAAACACTGACCCCTAGAAATTTCCATTTAAGTAATTATACTGAAGTTATATTTGGAAGTTCCACTCAAATTTAATTATCCCGAATATAGTCACTAAGCCACATCTAGTTTCAAGGGAAGCTAAGAAATAGAGGCTCTGTGCACAGATAAAACTTTAGCAGGAGGACTGGTTGTATTACTTGAGGAAGAGAGTAATTGAATCCTGGGAGCCTACATCAAAACCTCAGATATTTGGTCTATAGGCCAGATCACTAACACTTTTATTGTTTTTTTCTGCCCAGAACATTGAAGGAGACTATGCAACTGTTATGAATTGGGATAAGATCAAAAGACAAAAATGCCTGGAAATCCATTCCTGGCCACATGGGGTCATGGCCGTAGGGTGAGTATAGTAATTGGGGTTATACAGTCAGGATATATATATATATATATATATATGTGTGTGTGTGTAAGTAACAGTATCGGTAAAAGGTACATTGATTGCCTAGGAGACAATTTTTCCCTTGTGTGGTCATTCAGGATGTGAGTACTGCTTAATATTGAGAGAAAATATCATCTACATATAGTCACCAGAAGCCACTGCCCTCCTGACCATCATCTCCAAGCCCCAATATTTTAAAATGATTTTAAGTGCTCTTTTAAAAGAAGATTAATTAATTTATTAATTTATTTATTAAAAAGTTACACAGAGAGAGGTAAAGGCAGATAGAGAAAGATCTTCCATCTGCTGGCTCACTCCCCAAAAGGCTGCAATAGTCAGGGCTAGGCAAGACTGAAGCCAGGCACTTCTTCCAGGTTTCCCATGTGGATGCAGGGGCCCAAACACTTGGGCCTTCCTCCAGTGTTTTTTGAGGCCATTAGCAGGAAGCTGGATCTGAAATGGAACAGCTGGGACTCAAACCAGCGCTCACACTGGATACTGGAAACTCAGGCAGTTGTTTTACCCACTACTCGACAATGCTGGTCTCTCTAATGGCTTTGTAAAAAATTAGTCATTTCTTAAATCTTCAAATATTTATTTATTTATTTGAAAGAGATAGATGAGAGAGAGAGAAAGAGAGAGAGAGAGAGAGAGAATCTTCTCCATTCACTGATTCATTCTTCAGATGGCTGCAACGTCCAAGACTAGGCCAGGCTTAAGAAAGCAGCAGGTACGTCATCCCAGTTGCCCATGTGGGTGCAGCGGTCCAAGTACTTAGGCCATTGTTCGCAGGGAGCTGGATCCGAAGTGGAGCAGGCTGGACTCAAACTGGTGTTCTGATATGAGACGATGGCTTCTTAAACTGCTGTACTAAAGCACTGGCTCTTTAATTATTTTTGAAACTGCTCAGATGATAGAGTGACTAAGGCTAGAGTTTGAGAGTAAAGGGTGAAGAAGACATGGCTTCTGAACATTTATTTCAACCCTTGATTCATATATTTAGTTTTTACCATGTGCCGGAAACCGAGCTTACAGTAATGAATAAGTCACATTCCCTGTACTTAAGAAATATACTGTCTAGATTGAAATACCCTGCATTCTAACTCCTTCTACTTCTTTGTAAGTGCTCCTCATTCTTTTCCAAAGCTGGGAGGGGGACTGTTTCCACACTTGAATATAAGCTGTCTTGTAGTAGGAAGCTATAACTAGACATTCTCCTGGTCTTTATTATAGCCCTTGTCACAATCCCACAGCATTGCCACTGCCACATGGAAGATGCACATTCATTGATTTATTCACAAATTTATTTCAGTAAATATTTATTGTACTCCTCTTTTGTGCTAGATATTATTCTAGTGCTAGGGATACAGCTAGCAAATGGGGATAACGAGACTGTGACATGAGACACGAGATATTTAGTAAATTGGATTATGTAAATAATCTTCAATGTTCAATAAATAATTCCACTTTTCACAACCTCCACTGCTTGTACCTCTGATCAAATAAATATCATCTGTTGCCTGGAATAGAGAAGTAGCCTTCTAACCAGTCTTCCTGTTTCAACACTTAGTTCCTTGTAATCCATTGTCCATAAAATAGCCACAGTGATTCTTTGCAAATGAAGATCAGATCACGTCACTCCAAGCTATAAAATGTCCAGTGACTGCTTATCTCAGAGTAAAATATCAAGATTATATTAGGCCTGAATGATCTTATGATTCTATACCTCAAAGACCTAACCTCATATCACAGCTCAGGAGAAACCATACTCTGCTTCCCCCACCACCACCAGAATCACAGTATCACCAAATCTTTTTTTTTTTGCATTTTTTAAATTTTTATTTAATGAATATAAATTTCCAAAGTACAGCTTATGGATTACAATGGCTTCCACCCCATAACTTCCCTCCCGCCCACAACCCTCCCCTTCCCGCTCCCTCTCCCCTTCCATTCACATCAACAATCATTTTCAATTCTCTTTATATACAGAAGATCAGTTTAGCATACATTAAGTGAAGATTTCAACAGTTTGCACCCACACAGAAACACAAAGTGTAAAATACTGCTTGAGTACTCATTATAGCATTAAATCACAATGTACAGCACATTTAGGACAGAGATCCTACATGAGGAGTAAGTGCACAGTGACTCCTGTTGTTGACTTAACAAATTGACACTCCTGTTTAAGGCATCAGTAATCTCCCTATGCTCCAGTCATGAGTTTCCAAGGCTATGGAAGCCTTTTGAGTTCACCGACTCTTATCTTATTTAGACAAGGTCATAGTCAAAGTGAAAGTTATCTCCTTCCTTCAGAGAAAGGTACCTCCTTCTTTGAAGACCTGTTCTTTCCACTGGGATCTCACTCACAGAGATCTTTCATTTAGGTCATTTTTTTCCAGGGTGTCTTGGCTTTCCATGCATGAAATACTCTCATGGGCTTTTCAGCAGGATCCGAATACCTTTAGGGCTGATTCTGGGCCAGGGTGCTGTTTCGGACATCCGCAATTCTATGAGTCTGCTGTGTATCTCGCTTCCCATGTTGGATCGTTCTCTCCCTTTTTTTTATTCTATCAGTTAGTATTAGCAGACACTAGTCTTGTTTATGTGATCCCTTTGACTCTTAGTCCTTTCATTATGATCAATTGTAAACTGAAGTTGATCACTTGGACTAGTGAGATGGCATTGGCACATGCCACCTTGATGGGATTGAATTGGAATCCCCTGGTATGTTTCTAACTCTACCGTTTGGGGCAAGTCAGCTTGAGCATGTCCCAAATTGTACATCTCTTCCCTCTCTTATTCCCACTCTTATATTTAACAGGGATCACATCACTTTTCAGTTAAATTTCAACACTTTGTATTAATTACAGAATTAAACCAATAGTATTAAGTAGAACAGACAAAGAAAAAATACTAAGAGGGATAACGTATTAAGTTGTACATCAACAGTCAGGGCTATGGCTGATCAAGTCACCGTTTTTCATAGTGTCCATGTCACTTCAACAGGTTTCCTTGTTGGTGTTCAGTCAGTTGTCACCGATCAGGGAGAAGATATGATATTCGAGGTCACCAGTGCCTCCATATGAATTTCAGCATCATTTTTTCCAGATATGAGAAGAATGTCTTTGGTATCTTGATTGGCATTGCATTGAATCTGTAAATTGCTTTTGGGAAAATGGACATTTTGATGATGTTGATTCTTGCAAACCATGAGCATGGAAGATTTTTCCATTTTTTGGTATCCTCTTCTATTTCTTTCTTTAAGATTTTGTAATTCTCATCGTAGAGATCTTTAACATCCTTGGTTAAGTTGATTCCAAGGTATTTGATTGTTTTTGTAGCTATTGTGAATGGGATTGATCTTAGCAGTTCTTTCTCAGTCATGGCATTGCTTGTGTATACAAAGGCTGTTGATTTTTGTGCATTGATTTTATATCCTGCCACTATGCCAAACTCCTCTATGAGTTTCAATAATCTCTTAGTAGAGTTCTTTGGATGCCTTAAGTAAAGAATCATATCGTCCGCAAAGAGGGATAGTTTGACTTCTTCTTTTCAATTTGTATTCCTTTAATTTCTTTTTCTTGCCTGATGGCTCTGGCTAAAACTTCCAGAACTATGTTGAATAGCAGTGGTGAGAGTGGGCATCCCTGTCTGGTACCAGATCTCAGTGGAAATGCTTCCAACTTTTCCCCATTCAATAGGATGTTGGCCGTGGGTTTTCATAAATTGCTTTGATTGTATTGAGGAATGTTCTTTCCATACCAGGTTTGCTTAGAGTTTTCATCATGAAAGGGTGTTGAATTTTATCAAATGCTTTCTCTGCATCTATTGAGATAATCATATGGTTTTTCTTCTGCAGTCTGTTAATGTGGTGTATCACACTGATTGATTTGCGAATGTTGACCATCCCTGCATGCCAGGGTAAATCCCACTTGGTCTGGGTGGATGATCTTTGTGATGTGTTGTTGCATTCTATTGGCGAGAATTTTATTGAGGATTTTTGTGTCTGTGTTCATCAGGGATATTGGTCTGTAATTCTCTTTCAATGCTGCTTCTTTTTCCGGCTTAGGAATTAAGGTGATGCTGGCTTCATAGAAAGAATTTGGGAGGATTCCATCTTTTTCGATTGTTCTGAATATCTTGAGAAGAATTGGAGTTAGTTCTTCTTTAAATGTCTGGTAGAATTGAGCAGTGAATCCATCTGGTCTTGGGCTTTTCTTTGTTGGGAGGGCCTTTATTACTGTTTCAATTTCTGTCTCAGTTATTGGTCTATTTAGGTTTTCTATGTCTTCCTGGTTCAATTTAGGTAGATTGCATGTGTTTAGGAATCTCTCCATTTGTCATAGGTTTCCCTGTTTGCTGGCAAACAAGTCCTTGTAGTAGTTTCTGATGATTCATTTAATTTCTGTGGTGTCAGTTTTACGTTTCCTTTTTCATCTCTGATTTTATTGATTTGGTTCTTTTTTCTTCTTTTTTTTAGTTAGTTGTGCCAATGGTGTGTCAATTTTGTTTATTTTTTCAAAAAACCAGCTCTTCGCTTGGCTGATTTTTTTGTAATTTTTTTCTGGATTCAATCCTGTTGATTTCTTCTCTGATTTTAATTATTTCTCTTCTCCTACTAGATTTGGGTCTGGTTTGCTGCAGTTTTTCTAGGTCCTTGAGATGTGCTGAAAGCTCATTTATTTGGTACCTTTCCAATTTCTTGATATGGGCACCCATTGCTATAAATTTGCCTCTCAATACTGCTTTTGCCATATCCCATAAGTTTTGATATGTTGTGTTGTTATCCTCATTTACTTCCAGAAAGTTTTTCATTTCTCTTTTGATTTCTTGTGTGATCCATTTTTCATTCAGTAGCATGTTGTTCAGTCTCCATGTGTTTTCATACTCTCTAGGGTTCCTGAGTTGCTAATTTCCAACTTCATTCCGCTGTGGTCTGAGAAGCTGCATGGTATGATTCT